CAAAAAAGCATTTTATTTTTGAAACCAGTTTCAATACGGTCAAGGGGAAGTGTTCCAGAGCTAGGAAATTTAACAGCAAAAAAATATTTTAAATGAGTGATCGACATCGTGAGTTGTTCCATGTATTTAGATAATACCAGAAATTGCCTATACAAGGGTAACAATGCTCAACTTTACCGCTAAACCTTACCGCGTAGCAGCATAAATTCTGACACAAATTCTCTAGCAATGCGTTGAGTTGGCAAGCATTCAAATCGATTTGCAACTGAGGCCCACTTCATGTTGCGAAACAGATTTTAAAACTGATTTACACAATAAGTCCGTGTACTGAACACAGTCAGCAATTAGCATCATTTTTTTTTGAAGAACAATTTTTTTTCTTGAGTAGAGAAAATAATTTAAACAATCGAGCATATAGAAAGTCTGTCATTCGAGCTGAAATGAGTTTATAGCAAAAGTAAACGTGACAAAGCTAAAGGGGTTTAGAATTATGTGCGTTGAACACAATATAAATTTGATCATTAATTGGAAAATGTGAAAAACGAAAGAAAGTAAAAAGGCAGAAAGAAAGAAAGAAAGAAAAAAGGAAAAAAAGAAAGAAAAAGATAAAATAATCCATCATTATGCTGATCAGCCTTGGTTCAAAATCAGACACACCATGTTGTCAGTTTTTTTTAAAACAAAATAAAAGAGAACGACTTTTTCACCGTCTGTGCACGAAGGTGCCCAACAAGTCTCCGTCGTGAAAGCTAAGTACACAAGATCTCACCGGAACGCATTGTTATATATTATCTACTTCTTATCACACTTTTTGCGTTTCCTTTTTCAACTTGACAGGGAAACGATACGGCCGTGCCAACTTCCGCGGCATTTCCTTCGAGCAACACCGAAGAACAAATATTAGTTCTTCCCAAAACCAACGAACAAGTTGCTGAAAAACAAATTGCCAAACTGAAGGTCGTTGCCTTTCTGCACCGAGTCTAATGGTGTCAATATTTGCAATGGTTTGTTTTGGGGGCGGGGGAGAACGCGGCAGAGGCATGGCTGCGATCTAGATTCTGTTTTGTTTGCCGTAATTACGTGTAATATTAGGGATCAATCAATATTTAACGACATTTGGGAACTCTTTAAGTGTTGACAGACTGGCTTTTCACACGAATTGCCTCCCTCAGCCGTAACATGGATACAGCGAGGGGTGCTGGGGCGCGAAAATCGACTTCGGTGTCGCTCAATGCCGTTTTAACTATAGCCGTTCTTAAAATACACCCAGGTAGTTCAGAAAGATAGTTTCTTTGGAAATATAATTTCTGGGTTGCCATTAGGAGGGTATGAATCCCCCTCAATTGACACTCCCCCATCCACTCATTCTGATAACTTAACTGAGGATATACGGTGAGTTAGTCTAAATACGTTTATAGTCAAAACGGTCCTGAGCGTCACCCTAGCCTTCTCAATGATGACAGTGTCAACCGTCTACCGCTGTGTGTCAACAAGCCTTCTCCAGAAGTGAAAACTTTCGCACTAATGGATGGCAATCCTTTCTATACAAACTGACCATTCATTGTGTACACAGGAAGGAAAAGCCTTGACTTTGGTCACTTTTAACTCCGTCCCCAGGCCTATTGAGGGCTAAATCCGCTGATTGTCCACAGCGAACGCTTGCGTTGGTCAGAATATTCTGGCATCTCTGATACAAACGCCCAACAGCCGAAGGCGATAAAAACAACAAGTTATCAATATATTGTTCATTTCATTTGGAGATTTAAAATGGCCCGGAGAGAAAAGAAAGGAAAAACGTTATAAAAATTAAAACCCTGTCATACCGTATCCTTCCACAGGTTTTATATAGGGAAAAACTTTTTCTTGCAGAAAGAGAGTACTAGAGCAAGTGATTCAATGAACATGTAGTTTGTGTTGAAAATATGTGTAATACGAATAGATAATTCGAAAAAGAATTTTAATGAATTTTGATTGAATTAAACTTTGATTGATTTAAAACATATTTCACGCATCCACCTACCAAATACGCAACTTGCCTTACGCACCAAAATATCTTAAGTATTTTTTTTTAAAGTTAACGCCGTTTAACTTTTTGAACTCATCCTTAAATAAAGCTACTCATTGCGTCTTCTAATGAGATTGTGCCTCATGCTCGTAGATCAGCTCGTTGATACAAGCGGGTCTCTAATAAACACCCCACACAGACTGCGTTACCTATGTAACACCCACCTGTTATAATGTCAATCTCTCAGTCGTTCACTTAAAGGTTACACGTTTGCAAATATTAACAAAACTACGCTAGAAGAAGGATTGGAAAGAATTGCACCTTTATTATTTCCCCAAAAATGCATCGCAAACAAGCGTGCTTTTGGCGTCCCAGAATTTTTAGTTCACTGTTTGGTTCCAGGTTTAGGGAGGGCCGAAATAATCAAATGGCAGGTAGCAGTTTATCGTTAAAGTATTTCAATATTTACTTGGGTTGAAAGTGTTTGAAAGGTTGCGTAAACTGCCTAGAGGGAAGGAGGACTTAACTGCAACGTAACACTGGCGAATGCGTCACGAATTTGACCGAATAGCCCCAGTTTTTCATCAAGCGTGTGTTGGGGAACAGTGCTGGACAATGCTCGCTATAAAACTATCATTTGTTTTGAAAATGTGTTTTAAAATGAAGGTTAAACTGCGAATAGGTGTCATTTCCCATAGAAGTTTAGTCAGAATCGGTTGAAACTTTGTATTTATTTAAAATTTGCTAAAATAGACCTACTTTCTCAATTGTTCAACGTCGTAGAAAACCATGCAATGTATCACTGCATTAACCCTACTGGTATTAGGATATCTACATTTCTTTTCGAAGCACAATGCGGTAGCTTCCATTAAATGAGTTTAATAACAAATATTTATAGAGAACAATGATTTTCCTTTAAAAATCTTTAAAACCATACACATCTAAATTAAGTTTGACCAACTGTGATACATGTATTTACTAGTAAACTTCGTTAATGCATTATTTTATTGCAGTGTGAAAAGTATTGTGCAGCTTTCACCGGTTATTTATTATAATTTTAACAGTTATACTCACACATGTTTTATACTACACCTCGGAAAGCACAATTGAAATTAAACGAAGCTTCAAAAATTGTTATTGAAGTTTTAAAAGTCAGTCACTTTCCCAAGCATTTCACCGCATGACACAGTTATTTTTAGTTTTGGTGGCATTAAAAAGAAAAACTGTAGAATTATCACGGCATAAATAACAAACCAACCAGACATAATATCATGTTATAATGACTAAGTAATAGAATTAGTTCCAAAGGTCATGGTGTATACGGAGTATTAAAATAAAAGTATCTTTGGCTGTGCCAGTAGTGCCAGAGTTGTCGTATTCATCAGTATTCTCCACGTTGTTGCAATATATTCAAATTCCCTTTGCCTTCGTGGGTCTGTCTAATTTTAGCGACAAGATGAACGATGAACCAACTCAGTTTGATTGTTTCATTATAAAATGTGTAGTTTAAAAATAATTTGATAAATGGTATTTATCTACCATAACAAAATTTTCCTTTAGAGTTCGTTTATTTTTCTTAGAATTACCAGTATCATTTCATTGTGCCTAGAGAAAACTATCAATCAAACTCAATGAAACCAACAAGCAACTTCTGTTAGTGAGCTCGGTATGTACATGTATATAATTTCAAGAGGAGATCTCATATGATTTATACAATAAGCTTGCCATCACAGTGAATTACCGTTCATAGACCCCATTTCCAGAGATTAGATCGATCTACTTTAGATCGACCTAACTTCCTGGGGGTTCACGCTAAATAGCTGTCAGCCGAGCGGACACGAAAGTTAATTACCCCCTTACAGCTGGTAGTAGGCAGGACGGACATTTAAGCCGGATTATCTGACAGTAATCTAGTGAGACTCCCCGCGGGGATAGATCGATCTAAAAGCTCTGGGAATACAGCCATAGACATTAGTGAGTTGAGTGACCGCCAAGTCAACTGACTACGAATACAAACAAATTAAAGAATTAAGACAACGTGAATAAAATGTATGCAAATAAAGACATTGATACCCCCCCTGTAAACTGCTTTTTAGTAAACAACTGCTGGGGGATCTACATATATATATAATACTTTGGTAACTGTCATAAAAAAGTTGACGAAGATAATTTAACTTTTAAAAGCAAATCACTGGGATGGAACGATGCCTTGGTTGTGTCTCGCTCCGCTTAATTAATTTTTTTTGGGGGGGGGGGGGATGAGAAGGGGACCTCCGAAATAATGGAAGTACTGTGCCAACCCACCATTAGAAAAGTTCTATCAAATAGTAATGTTGACATGTGCGCAAATACATGGCATAACTTAAAGTTGACACTGACAAAAAAGGCAAATTTGAAAATGAAACCAAAAAAGATTCTGAGGCTGGGTTCTGCGTTGCTTTCACAAATATGATGTATTAAGGACTTAATTAGATACAGAAAGTTAATCAACCAGACTCGTGAGGGAACCGGCTGCTCAAGACCTTGAACGAAATAACCTGAATTATTGAGATAGGCTACATTTTACATACAACAATTATCCCGTTAGTGTTTGTATTAACTAATTTTGGTTAGAAACTTGAAGTATTTTACAGCATCGTAATGTTCTAATAATGTGAAGGCCGAATTGGCAACAAAAATCTGTTTTTTTTTTCATAAGTTTTAATTGGTCACTCTGTATTTATTTCTTTTTCAATAAATAAATAAATAAATAAAAATGAAGAAACAATATGCTGGATATGTGCGAATGATAAAAACGTTTTTTATCCAAAGATTTTACTCAGGTATATGGAACATTTGAAACTCCCTTCGGCTCACACATGGTGCATGTACATGGTGTGACATATATAAGAACCTATAGGGACATTGTGGGGTGTATGATTGTGACGTCACTTTACGCAAGAACAAATGTATATTACAACAAACAATTATGTACAAAGTCTGATGAGACTATAAATTTCAAATTACATTCCTAGATTTATAGACAGACTAATACATTTATATGTTTTTACAAGCTGTACATCATGGCGTAATGAAAACAATTAAGGCCAATGATTCTCTACTAAATAGTATAATTCTAATTCTAAATATAACAAATAGTAAATAATACAAATATCAATTGAGTTTTTGACTCAGAAGTATTACCAACTTTTCAAACCCAAACGGCAATAATTTACAAAAATCACAAAAATACCACATTCATGTATCTTGGACACTGACAGTACTAGTAGCGAATGTCTTCGTTTCTCGCAAGCAAAACTGTGACGCATAGATAGGTAGATAGATATGTGTGAGCTTCTGACAACATTTTCCGAATGGCTGATTTCTTAAAGAAACCGCATCGATTGCCATGCTTTGAACTGTAACACGACACCCACGTTATCGCAGAAAAACAAATACTAATTACACCCCGTCCCAAGATACAGTTCTTACCATAACATAAATGACACAAATTATATATATATACTGAAGAATATGGCACAAAAATAGTCTACTTAATTGAACATTCGATTGTCAGATTAATATCATTTACAGAGATCATCAACGAACACTGATCACCTGAGATGATGGTTTCAGAATCTTTTTATCTTTTTCTTTCTTTACTTAGTCATTAAAAAGAGATAACGATGTATAGTACACTTAATCAAAGACACACCTCGATAATTTAAGTTTTTCTTTGGAAATGTCAATGAAAGTGTATCTAGTTTCCTTTGACCTGTGATGTATAAGCCTTCACGGTTTTATAAATCTCCTTTTGGGCTTTTAGCCACATAGCTCAAACCTAACCCGGAATTTATACACTATTTCGTAATACATCTACTCAAGCTATTGTGACATTACCAAAAAAAATGGCTTGAATTATACAACGCTGATTATTTTCTTAAACAATCAATAAGTATAACAAAAAAGGAATACCGAAATTTGTGCTGTTATCTCAAAGAACAAATTCTGAAGTCGATTCCTGATATTAGTCAGTAAGATTGGCGCTTTTACAAAGCAGTTCTAGTTATGGGTAATAGGACCCTAAATGTGATGGAGTCACATGACTGTGGTGATGCGTCATCGCGTGATTGGAGATATTAGGATAGAGATTGGCGGCGCTAGGAGCGGACCAATAAGAACCCGCGCCGGCAAAGAACCCGGACGTATTGGATGAAATCGGCGCATGAGCGTTCATGAAATTAAGTTTTGAGTTGGCATGGTGATAGCTCGACATAAACAGGTCTTGCTGATATTTATATGTGGCGGGATCAGCAGCTGGCTGCATAGCTTGAGCTAACCCAGCAAAATCGAACTTGTACGCGTAACGTTTCCCGTGGACTTTCGTCATGATGTTCTTGTCGTAGTAGTAGCGTAGAGCTCGGCTCAGCTTGTCGTAGTTCATGTTTGGTTTGCTCTTGCGTTCTCCCCAGCGTCTAGCCACCTCGTCGGGATCCACGAGTTTGAATTCCCCGTTGGTGCCCTCCCACGTGATGCAGTTTGCGTTTCCGCTGTCCGACAGCAGCTCTAGGAGGAACTGCCATAACTGGATCTGGCCACTTCCTAAAATGGAACAAGATGGTTTATTAAATCTAATGTTATATTTTCATTAATGTTAATGGCTATTTCATGTAATTAAGTGCGGCATACTTGTATAAATGTCCGTCTAAGAATTTTTCGCATCAATCTGAGTTTTGAAATGGAGAAATCCAGAAAAGCAAAATGCCCCAACTCTACTTTTTCCCTGCACTGTAGGTAATGGCCACAAAATCTTAGACGCTTTCTTGTCAGTTTATTATATCTATGGTAAATAATATAGATATACTGATATGATAGGCCTATAATCGAACCACGATTTATTTATTTATTTATTTATTTATCATTATTATTATTATTATTATTATTGTTGTTGTTGTTGTTGTTGTTGTTGTTGCTGAGATGCTCATTTCAGAGAAGATCAATCAGTTATTTGATTTAAATATATGACAAGCATAAATACTTGTGCTGAAATGAAAAAAAAAATAAAACCGTGCATACGTTCATGCAGGTGCCTGCTTGGATGGGAACGGTAAATTTACAGAAAAAAATAATAACAAGTAGCCCGCTCTTGCCCAAGCGCACACAGGCGCGAATGCACGTTCAGGTTTCAGAAAACTCACCGGAAGTAGAGAGGCGGCTAGACATAGGCCCAAAAAGCTGGTAAGGGTCTGAAAAAAAAAAGAAAAGCATTTTGTTAATTATGTATAAATTTCACAAAAACAATAACTGGTCGCCTAAAGTCCCTGCACCAAAATATATTTTATCAGCAGAATTTTGAACGTGTTCCGATTCCAAGGTGCAGGTGAAGGTACCTTTGGTGAAACGCACTATCAACTGTAATCGACAGAACTGTAGGCCTTATGCCTCACGTTGAAACAAAAGACAATCAAGTCACATTTTCCCGTAAACGTCTTAGATACTGAAATAAATGAAACCATATGACATACATGTGGTTTTCTTCCTTCCGTTACCGCTGAAGTGAGAGGATTAGAATTAGAACACGAAGACAACGGCGAAATTATTTTGAAAAACCGCAGCGCGTGTTCAGTTTTTCGGGGACCAATCACATACCTTTCGTTGCGGGCCTGACAGGATGATCGAAAAAAGAAATCTTGCGGACGATCTGCCGTAGTGAGGATTGCGCTAATGTTCAATGCCGAATTTAATATAACGGACGTCATTGTGACCTTATATAGTAAGATTGCACAAACACCCCGCCTGTGCTATGACTATACACAAGCAGGCAAAAGAGGAAGGCTGCCTGGGGAGTTCAAGCAATCTCGTGGGATTTCTCGAGATGATTGTGTTTACCTCATCAGTTAGCAAAAGTCGTTTTACCCATGGCGTCACAGCTGGGTGGTTTAATGATCTATTTAGTGGACCGAGAATGGAGCCCTTTGAGCTCACAGTCTGACAAATATGGCGTCATTGAACTGTGAGAATACCGTTAATGACACGGCTGCTCAGCCTATCATGCGACATCTATACAAACAATGGTTTCTAGTGAATCTTGATTAACCTTTGCATAGCGCAGTGTCGGTAGCAATGCGGTGTTTGCTCTTAGTACGCCCAGGGTGAACAATAGGCGGAAATTGTCTAAAGATTCATTGAATCTCAATGGATAATCCAGCCGAGTAAAGCTCCTGGGTCTTACCGATTTCTCGCACTGCACACGGTCAAATGCACCTGTGTTCTTTCGTTAACCAAGAGCCTTTTTGTCCACACGTTGCCATCTATATTCATCAATATATGCTCAGTGAAAGATGTGAAGCCACTGGAACGCATTAGTATGCTTTAAAAATATGGCATTTGTGAGTCTACTTCTTCAGGATACCGTGAACGTAATTAATTCATACAGTATCTGACTGTGCCTCAGCAAGAAGTGTCTAAAATCAAAATAACTCGCAGTAAAATGTTAATTTCACAGTTGTAAACTACGAAAAGATAAAAAAAAAAATCAAACAAATGTAGAACAGACGCCGAGAAGCCCGATGTATTTAACATTACTATATCAAAGCTAAAACAATAAAAAGCCACATTTACAGTATACAAATACAAGCGCAAAACAATTTTTTTGCAAAAACGCGGCGTCACGTACTCCATCTGATCCATCGACAACCGAGGCTACTTTTTGTTCAATAGAGCAATGAGTTAACTCACCTCCACCAAGGGGGTTATATTTTGCCTTTTTGGTTTGCTAGTAAATAGCTTAACTAAAATATTTATAGACACATTCTGCTAAAATTTAATAAAAATTAGAAATAGGAAAACGAAGAATAGATTTTTATTGATGGTGATCCGTTAATTAATTTATTACCTCCGCTAAGGAGGTTATGTTTTTGGTTCCGTTAGTTTGTCTGTCTGTCTATCTTTCTGTCTGTCTGTCTGTTAGCAACATTACAGAAAAAGTTATAGACCGATTTTGATGTAATTTTCAGGAACTGTCAGAAGTGGGCCAAGGAACAGATGATTAGTTTTTGGTGGTGATCCTTATCATTAATCAATCAATAATCAAAAAATCAAAAAACTAAATCATTATAGATGAAAATTTAGGGGTGAAACGGCATTGGGTGGAGACTTTGCTGCCTTGGCTTTTCTAGTTCGTTTATCCATTCATTAATAAAAAATGATGAAAAATAGGCTGCCTTTGCGGAGGACTGCACTTTTTGAGTGCCTGTTTTAATGAATTTTCGTCCTTAAAATAAATAACCATCAGGACCTGAAGAAAAATACCAGGGACATTCCCTCAACATTAACCCAGCTATCGGCAATATTATCACAATATCTTAGCCTTATTGTGTAATGGATCAATTTCCCTTCTCTTTGCTTTGCCTCATCATCGGAAATCCAGATTGATCTATCTCCGTCAGTTGTTGTATTGTTGATTCCATTGTACCCAGTATTGGGCGACAATGGATTCGCTGTAATTCAATTACATCAGCGCAAATGTAATTGGAGAAATTACCGCATTTCATTTTGCCATAATCTAGTAACATTTACATTGCTTACTTGTGCCAACGCACCTGTCTTGTGAAAAATGAATTTCAACAATACTGCAAAAACAAGTAATATTGAGTGAAGGGATTTCTCACTTGTACACCTGACTTTGTAATTAATTTCTGCAAAACCATGACATTGGAGAACATTGTAATTAAGGGACGACTGTTCAACATCTGTCTTTTTTTAACTGAAGTTGTGTCAGTACTAGGATATCTATAGCTGATTTCTAATTAATTATGGTTCAAACGTATCACATGATCGTTTCTCCTGCTTTTACTGCATAGATGCTTTAGATATATTTTTCACAGCATCTAGCATTTAACATATAATGGGATATGTACAAAAATGTCAGTGGGTGGTCTCAAAACTTCATTTTCCCAAAATTCCGTACAAACTGGACTTGCCTTACTAAGGCACCGGCCTTCGTATTGACAAATCACTTGGCTGTCCATGCAAATAAAAGAACGGTAGTTATAACTGATTACTGGAAACGGCAATTACTTTACCGCGCCAGAGTTTCCTAATTCCATTTCTGGTGTCGGGAAATATCGCCCTAACTAGCGGGGTAGCATGGCCTGGACTACTATACCATTCAATTAGTGCCATACTCGATCAATTGCTTCATTCGCAACCCCTTCTTCCACCTTGCCAGCCACTCTAAGCCCAACGTGTTTCTGTCAAAATGACCTGACCGATGGACAATTCGTTTTTAATTAAATGGAACATCACCGGAGCTTCATTATTTCTATGGATGGGTAATTTCTTCAGCCATGTCACCTCTCAAAAGACCGGATTTCTGGGGCTATTAACGAAGGACTGCGACAAGACCCTGGCGACAATGACAACAGCGAGGGGCCTCCGGTTTGAGCAAACTCCCGGATGAAAGAAGTTGCTCAACAAGACGCGACGAACGATGAAAAAGGAAACTTTTTAGAAAATTGCATTTTCCCGCGGAAGGATTTCCGTGAGCAGCATCAATAACAGTAATCAGTGGCTTTTGAGTCTTTAATGTCCATTAAGGCGTTCCCGGGAGAGAGGAGGGAGACTGTACACACTGTACGCTGTACTTAACAAGTCGTAAACGCCTGCCTCACACTTGGAGTGCGTTCAATGGGGCGTTCAGTCGTTGCCAGACGACGTGGCCAGCGTAGCGTTCCTAGACATAGCCAGCGGGGGATGTCAATCCGGTCATGCGTATCGCTGCCCCTGAAGAACGCCTGATGAAGACCAGAGCGTCACGGTGCGTCTCCTACACAATCTTTCCACTTGTCTACACTGTCCTGAAGCGCGTTTGATGACGATCATTTAGTTTGGTGAACCTTGCGTGTACTAAACTGCAAGAATTGCACTCAAAATACCCCTAATCAAGAGTGCTACAACTGTAGTACTCAACGTTTCAGTTGATTGCAATGGACATCTGCTAGATATTATATTATTATAATTATTATATATTGAATCTAATGTTAATGCATTGTATCAAAGTATCCTGCAATACTTCTACTCGTAGTTCAGCCAAAACTCTTGCATGGTTATATTTCAAGGTACTTATATGGCTGAACATCACGATTCAGGGTTTTATGTCATCTTTTACAAGAGTAAAAGTGTAAGCAAAATATTCATTACTGCAAAGAAATCCTCGTGCCCCATGTTTGCCTAAGTTTGGTATTAGTAATAACACTAAATTTATGACAATAAAGTACTTAAAATCAGGCTGTCACAAAATCTGAAAATTGAAATTAAAAAAAACAAAACTTTTAAAGTCATATCAGATCATCGCCATAACAGATAAAAGGAAGTGATCTGTTTGGCCATATCCAGATAATTTAGGTTTTCCCTACAACTAAGGTAAAAACTGTGAAAAATGACAACGCAGAGAATAAATGAGATGAAGAGGAACCCCTGAAATTCCCGTGCCTACTGCAACCACGGAAATTCTTCTGCATTTGGACATTAATGCAACATTTGGCGATTCTCTTTCGTTTTGTTTTTACTGAAAATGTAGAATTTCACTTTCACTTTCACTTTAACCACGACCACGACCCATGACGCATTCACGGAGGCGTAACAAACCGTGCAAAAGATGACAATAGATATGAAAGTAGCAATGTAGTCTATAAAATGTCCATCAATACCGTATCAAACCATTTCCATTTTGGCGGGTGTAATTTCTGTTTATAGATTTTGCTAAAGGAGGTATAAATTAATAAATACTGACGGTCGTTAACCACACCAGGGGCGGATCCAGATATATATTTTGACAGTCTTCCAAATTATCCGTGTTGATATATCCTCCATTTTTGACCGTCTTCCGACAGTAAAAATTAGATACCCGTCAATGTAAACTTGAAAATCTGACCGTCTTCCGGAAGACCCAGAAGACGGCCTAAATCCGCCCCTGCACACTAAATGTGTCAAATGTTAACAAGTCGTCAGTAAAAACAAGTCGGAACAATTTATACCTTTTTACCAATAAGAAGGCCTATATTGCCGGTAATAAGGATAATTTGACATTGGCGTTTTTGAAGGGAATGACTTGGTTGCTTTGCAGTATTCACTCGCGCTATTCTAGCTTCCTATGATAGTAACGGTCAAGGCCACAAGAGAGTAAGCGTCAACTTGACTACTCCTATTGGCTATTTCACCACATTGGGAATAAGTTCCGGTCTTAATGTTCAAAGCATGGTATATTGGCAAGGAATATGAAGTAAGCGGAGACACAAAAATTACTTTGGGGCATTTGGCGTTCATAACACTCCCAATATTTCACACTCCCAACATTTCGCAAAATCGAATAGCATGCTAATTTCTTTTAACATACTTCCTGACCTTATGAACTAATGTGTAGCACCAATGTCTCACGCATAAGCAAATCAACCAAGTGTTATACGAAGTCTCACAAAAGCTCACGGACATATACTTATTGAATTCAATGCAACAGTATGATTATAGATATTACCAGTAATTGCAAATTACCTAACACGGTTATAAAAATTGTACCCGTAGTAAATTTTCATAGTGGTGTAAATACACTGTTGTAATAGTATTCATTTAGATACAGTTTTGACATTATCCTACCATGAAAATGATTATGACATAATCATCAAGTCATACATGTATATGAACATTATTTGTTTATATCAAAATGGTACACGAAACTCGGTAATTTTGATCGTTTGGTTTCTTTCTCACCTGGTTGTCTCCACTGTGCATGCGCCGATTCCATGTTTGGCTTGGTCATTCCATGAGGTGGATATGCTGCAATATTTAATGAATGATATATAGCATCACTGAGAGACAGGAAGAGAGATAGAGAGAGAGATATAAGAGGGAAAGAGAGGTGTAGTAGAGGTGTAAAATGGCACGATTGATTTTCAAATAAAAAGTAACTGGGGCTAACTCATCGAATAAAGGAAAATATCATTGATATGAGCCATAATTTGACTACTGTGCTATATGTAGAATGCTTTATCGTTCAGTTAACGTTGCACATGCTTTTGCCTATCTCATACTAAGAAGATCATGGCTGAAAGCAACTTTCTAAACACAAGTGCGGCCGAGCGATAGAAAATAATAGACGTAATCTGTAAGACAAAGCAGGAAATCTCCGATGGATCAAAGTGCTTAGTTTCAACACGAATTTCTTCCACTTACACGATTATCCATTGTACGAGTCTTTCCCGTTAATTCGCGGACGTCGAAATTTCCAACGCATGACTACGTCACTCAGAACCAGGGCAGAGTATATACGTAAATAAGAGAGACTAAATAGAAGTTGTTAAACGGACCAACTGATGACGCTACACTGGGGCAACAGTAGAAGTTGACATTGGTTAAATAGACAATTTAAAAGAAGCGATTGCTCTCCCCTTCTAAATATCCCTTTCCATCGCTAACTTTTTTGGCTTAGAGAGATGTAAAAGACGTATAAAAGAGCACCAAAAATAAAAGTTTTAACCCGCGGTCAAATGTTCACAATGGTTTTATTGATTTTCAAATTATTTGAGAATCTGATGTTATGTGGAATTTATTTCGGCAAACCTCCATGCAAGGTGCTGAGAGCCACTGCAACCCACAGTTTGTGCAATTTAACGTCTGATGTTAAAGGAAAACAACTGTGACGATTTCAAAATATTCACGCACCATCTCCATCATTACGCCATTCACATGTCTACGGCACAAAAATAGCTTGTTACCAATTGCAGTATTTGTTTTTAGTTTATTTAGTTTCTTTTTTACCCGCAAATCATAGCAGTCTGCATAGAAAATAAGAGCCATACAACAGCTTTGATTTAAAAAGCGCATAGCGTCCATAGTGATTTTTTCTGCCAAAAGCCACTTCTCATAAGACTGTTACCTATTCGTTTTTGTTATTACAGAAAGTGATCTCGTATTTTCATAAGATAGTTTGTACAAATATACCAACCTGCCAACTCACGGCTGTGACAGGATCTCACCCTTACAACATACCTACGGTGTAATATCATATGGCGTCGTCTAAAGAATAAAATGGTATATAATCTAGGCAGGTTCAGTTCAAAAAGCTCCATTAAAACGGATTTCATATTATGGCTGGCGAGGATCAGTTAGATTGTTCGAGAAATCGAAATTTCACGTCGGTGGCTGGAAGCTGTTGGGACAGAAATTCTATCTGGGATGTAACAGTTGGCAGAACGGAAAATGAGAGATGGCCGAACAATTGGTCAGTTTGCTGGGTCAACAGCTTCAGCCAACTCTGGTCACTTAGATGCTACACTATTTGCAGTTCAAAATATGAAAATATACAAGATTTGCCTTCTTTTACAACCATACAATCCACTTCAATATAAAAACAACATTACAAGCTGCCTAAATCGCTTATAATTGACTTCTAATATTGCAGCCGTCAAAAGAGCACACGAAGCCACTGCCAGATGACGCCAAAGGCCAGACTCCAAATACGACCATTTGAGCTAGTTACTCAAAGAGAAAGCACAGATATTGAGAAGGATACCAGTGATAAACCATTAATCATTAAAGTTCCCAATCTAAAAAAAGACTTGGCAAAAAAAGGCAAAATCTTAAATGTATTTTTACCCTTAGTGCTTAGCGTTTTGACCCTTCAACAAAGGACCTTGATAATATGACTGACTTTTTCACTATCTTTAAACTAGGGACAATAAAAAAAACCTTTTTAACCCTGAGAAAACTTACTCGTTTGTTTTCAAACTCCGTCGATGATTTAATAACCATTTGTATGAGTACGGGTTGTTAGCGCGAGGAAGTTCCTCGACAAATTCAAGATTTAGGACGGAAATATCGAACGAGACACTAAGACGTGTGGACAAAATGAAGAAAAGTGTTGATTTAACCTTTGAATTCAAACATGGAAGTGTTATGTTATTCTGACATCAGGGCAGTTTTGTTAATAAACCATATCTAGGTTTCCAAAACGAAAAAATATTTAATAAATGTAGACAAATATGTTCTGTATGCACTTAAGATACAAAACGCCCAACAAGGGTGTTCCACCTGTTTTTTTTTCTTATGAAAGTTGTGCAAATACACATCATGATTATAACTCAAATTTATTCCAGTGCTCAATGATTTTCTAAAGTCTTGCCTAACTTTAGTGAAAAATAAACCTCTTTGTACACGAAAGAGATGTCTGCTGCGCAACTTAAGGCAGACGATTATTTCACGATCTTCAATGGTTCAAGGGGATTGGAGGAAGCAGTAAAATCTCGGTTGTTTTTTAATAAGACGAAGCCTTCCAATGCCCTTGGTCTGGGCTATCACGGAAATGGAAGCCGTGCAGTTTCCGAGCTCAATTACAACGCACGGGGGCAGACGATACCCCAGCAGTGCTGACGACACATGCTGCGCGCGGAGAACCGGGAACCTGTGGGACTTCTGAAAACAAGGATTTACTTTCTCAGAGCAGAGTCATAGGTTCGTATCCTTAAACAATAAGCCCACACTCATTGTTACATATATGACTTTGGATGCCGAAATGCAGTGGGCTCGTATTATAGATATTAAATCATTACACGCAAGCTTAAGTGACGAAAACTAGTGCAAAGTAGTTAATTTCTACAACTATGCCAAAGTAGAAAATGAGCCTTATACGAGTTACTGTCGTAAAGCAGCCTCACAAGTGTATTTAAATATCACGTGTTCTTACTTTATTGTATTAAGTAAGGTAACAATTATAAAGGTGGTATTGATATGTTATGTGATTTTATTTATTTTTATCTTTATTGTATATATACTACTCTTCGTAGATTAGTGAGCCAGCAAATCTCAATAAACAATAAATATTATTATTGAAAATTATGAGAGTATATGTACAGATTTTGTGAAAAAATCCAAATTTTACACACGCCTTTTAGATAGACCTTCATTTTCATAATAAACGGAGTGAAGTTGACGACGATTATATATATATATATATATATATATATATATATATATATATTCCCCTTAAAAACATTTTGTCAATTAAGTTCATATAACAGCTCAAAGTTGTATAACGCACTCTCATTGGTCAGGAAAGTACCTTTTGTGGGTAACTACATGTACGAATCGTGGCTCAGCATAATATAGACTGCTTTACATCAAAACGATATCTACATACGTTTAAAAAAACTCTGATTATGATTTATAGTAGATAGATATGGTAAACTGATGAAAAAATTTAAAAGTTGCAATTATACCAAATAAGTTGTTATTCAAATAAGTTGTTATCTTTTTCTTATAAAAATATTGTTCCTATCTTGAATTGACCCTATAAAAATGAAAAGTAATGCTAAGCACTCCTTATTATTTCAGCTATGATTTGAATTTTGTTATCACAAAAGTCAATTGAATCCATCTTTACCCGATGTCTAGTGAACCGACATTATATATCTTAAACTTTCCTTTCAAACTACCTACTTAACCTAATGTGTGGTGTATTTGGTAATCAGTTATTTCATAATCAAATACATTTCAACTGTGAAACTTCTTATTTTCACTGAAATTTGCTTACACGCCTCAAATTGTGAATCACTTACGACGCAGATTTTGAAATACAGGTATTCAATGAGCAGCCGTGCAGTATGTGTTATAATTACACTACATTTATGAAGGTGAGTTTTGATGTAGAATTCAGAACACTTACCTTGAGGAGATGGGCTGGTCTGGGGGGTCCAACTCGGCTTGGCATAGCCTGGATCTGAAATATAGAAAGAACTTTAAGAAAAACTAGCTAACATCATCGCATTGTTAATTCAGTATAATGATGTGCCCAATAAAACCGACGCCATAACGGAAATCAGACCTACAAAGAAATTAGTGAAAATCATAGACAACTCACTCGGAAAATTATAAAGCGACAGCATCTCCGAGGTAAGCATGTTAGAGAAGAAATATCCCTTGTTGTTTCATCAGTGTTTTTTTTTCTCACTGAAAGTGCAGGTACTGTATAGCGTAATGCCGTATACAACGTGCGCGGTTGAAATGACGAACAGCGGATACTTGATCCAACAGAGAAAACCTATGACATAGCCAGCGTTCGTCACGTCGAGGGTTCTCACCACTCCAAGCAATCTTAACTCTGCGAACGTGTAGCAAGCGACAGCCAACTCCAACGGCGTTTCATCTTCGATCTGCAGTCGTGCCGGAGATTATCAGATTTTTGCTATCGACTTCACTAATTACATTTCAATTAGGCGTCTAATCAAGCGTCGGTCTTGTCAGATGGACAAATAACATATGTTGTATTGTTTGCATTGCGTAAATGGAGGAAAGTTGAACGAAGGCAGTGCACAGGCACAAGACAGAAGAAATTCACCACGGATTACTAATCTACTTTTAGACTCCGACTTTGAGTACGCTTTTGCAAACAAATGATGACATTAAAAACATTACATCTATCGATTCTTAAAAATATTTGCATTTAATTCTCTTATTTCATTTCTTAGATTTTTCCATGGTCAGCGGTGGTGGATATGGAAAAAGATGAAGTTCGCCGTGTATACGGTATATGATATTGTAGATTAAAGTGTGGGCGTATCTCTACCTTATCAAACACTCTTTTCAGAGCAGTGATTACATTTCTCATCAAGGCCAACTTGTCACACCACTCACGGGTACCCGATTTGTTTCGCAAATCAGTATGGCTTGGTTCTCGAAAGGCACATTCCCAAAGCACGCACAATCACACAGACACACGCAAAACACGCGCAAATTAACGCAATGACACAACCACGTGCATTTACGACGCCATTTGTTTTTTCCTATCGCGATCCACAGCGTAATGCGACGCAGATCAAAGTTTAAAGAATCAAGGAGACTCGCGACTCTATCAAGTGGCACTGGATTACACGGTTAATCCCCGTGTAGCGCGAGGATTATTGGGAAATAACAACATTTATGAATACAAGTCCATGTACGCAGACGCTTAGAGGTAGAGTACTCTACAGTAGTCGGAAGATTAAGGAGTAAAATCTTAAGTCAAGCCTGCGCTCCTGTTATTCCAGGTTGTAAAGGCTATAAACCGAATCTGAGAAAAAGAAAAAAAAATTGATTCACTATTTATTTAATGGTATTATGGAAAAGATAACAAAATCTGAGGTTGGTACGTACACATACCAGTACAGTAGTTATCCGATATAATCAAGCGTAAAACTTGGATGTAACATTCTTTGACATCAATCTTTGCGTTAACTTATTGTAAAATTCTTATACAACTTACACCTTTTCTTAATATAATTTTGCGATTGTTAAAATGCTGCTCGGCAGACTGGTTTCAAAACGAGTGTGGTCTTTCGAACCATGTCATTAAAGATGGGACAAACATCCTTCATGTAGTTGTATGTTGTTTCCCTCTTTCTCTATTGTCACCAATCCTTAGCCTTCGATCTATTTGACTCTGGGTGCATAACATAACAATGTTTTTGCTCTTTTCTTAAAGGTAACTTCCGTATCTATGTACTTACTAACGCACCTAAGCGAAACAAAAAATACTTGAAGAAAACATTTCTTAAAACGAAAGATGTAAGAAAGGAAAATAGGGTGTTATGCACGGGTACCTTGATCATGAGCCTCAAAAAATAAATAAATAAATAAATAAATAAATAAATAAATAAATAATAACAGAATTGTGAACCACTAGCTTTGCAGAGCCAAGTGGGATTGCTCACGGCTGAGCTGAAAAATATCGAGATATGTTATTAATTATCAATTCGACTGCATCTTGACATTTGCTGTTTTTATTTCATTTTCGATGTTTCAAATAAGCCACACGCTGGTGAAAATGTCGCAACAGTGAGAAGGAAGCACTAAAAATGAAGATGAGATTTCTACTTTTTATAACACAAGAATTCCTTCAAATATTTTTCCAGGATTATTTTACCATATTCTATCAATGAATTAGAGAACATATTTTTAAAAACTGAATGGGATTATAGGAAACCTTTCAGACCTAAAAACAGTAACATGAGTATGAATAGTAATATCGAATGTAGAATGAAAAAGTCAAAACCCTTTTTTGCACGCCGTTAAAAATAGCAAGATTATATCTTTGGAGAAAGGGGATATTCAAAAAGTTAAATTTCACACTTGCGTTCCTACCGTGTGAGAGCATCATGGCGCTGTGAAAGCTAGAGAAGGCGCAGGGGTGGTAATATTCCTGCTTCTGGTGGTGATAACTCTGATGATGGTGAAACGACGCCATACTCATTTTGCCGCGTTCGTCTGTCGTCTGCGTCGCCGCTTTTACACCTTTACTGTCTGCCTAAAGTTATAGATTCTGAACAAATATTTTACGCCTTCGTATTTGTACCCCGACTTTGTTTTTGTTTTGTAGTCAGTCTTTTTTTAACCTTCGAGAAAAGTAAATATATTTAGCAATGTAGCAGGAATGGTGGAAACCTTAAAAAGTTTTTGATATAAATAAGCGATCCACGATCTCGGTCCTGAAGGATGTTCGCGGTCACAATGACGCTCCTTTAGAGGAATCCTTATCTAAGGCGTTGAATCCTCCCTGCTTATGATATCGCCAGTCTTATATCCTCACCCGCCCTAAGACTGAGCCAGAACAAACTGGTTGGGAAATAACTTCATTCGGAAATAGTTTCCAACTTCAGCACTCTACTCCATTAAATTCGGAGGTGTTGCCGATGCCAAGTCTGTGAAGATTTGTTGTGCAAATGGCGAACTAATTTTTTTCTTTTAATTCAAGTCATGCTGTAGCCATTCACATATCACTCTCTCTTTTTCCACACTTTCGGTTATCTCGGAGTGATTTCTGTCGACGATTTCCAGGCGGAGACTTAGTCTTACTGGACGCGATCAGCTTATCCGTTCACGCGTCCGAAGTGATGATGATGATCGGACTTGACTGTTCGATGAGTGTGTCTCTCTTTGATATTTAAAAGCCGGGCCACAGTGTGACAACGAAAGAAGGCGGAGATACTGAGAACGGTAGGTAAGCAATCGCTGCCTGTTGTCCGTCAGTCTATACACGCAGCTCACACAAGAGAAAATATTTGATTTCTTTGACGATGTATCAGAAGGACGAGACCGGGGACAGGGCTCCTCGCGATACCACGACTTCCTATTGGTCGCACGTGCTAACCTTAATGAAGTGTCAACGTGGGACCTTCTCTGTCACCAAACCGTCAGTGTCCCTTCTCTCTCCGTCGGCATGGACTCGCGATGTTTTCCTTCCCGTATCCTTAACACTGTGAAGTCGCGAACACACGCGACAACACGCTTTGGTTTGTCCACGCTCCGGGGCATACAGTTAAAACAACCAGGGATAGCGAGCGAGTTGAGGCACCGATTAAAAAAAAAAAACTCCAAAATCTCGCATTGTTTATTCCGATTCTTCCCCCCGCCCCACGACACCAAGGCCCGTGACCGGGAATACAAGAGGTGATATTAACATTTTATGAGTTTACTTTCAATGTCCCCCTGACCCTAGGGCTAGTTTGAGCAGGAGGGAGGGCAAACAGGGCCCAGGGTGGTATTATCAAGTGGAAAATTGAAACATAATAGGCCGCACACAGATTGCGGCTAATATTGACAAGTCAAGAGGGCTTATGAAAACCCAATAGTCCCAATGAAAATATTTGTTTGAAGTTGTTGTACGACAATTTGAGGTGTTCTTTTCTGCTTCCTGAGAAAGTATTGATAAAAGTCAACAAGTGATAGTCCATTAGTGAGTAAGGTGAAGAACCGCTCAGGTTTCGAACCAACAATGATGATCAATTGAACACCTTTTATCGGGAAAAAACAGGGTCCGTGATAAAAAAACTTAACCGGAGACCCTTTTGGCTTTATAAACATTGCCTTTTCCCGACGAGTGATTATTACTGAATAACCTCATAACGCTAGAAATACACCAGACATCGGTAAAAGCGAGAGTTCCACGGATTTAAAATCCCCACCTTTCTCTTACCAACGCAGCAATACAAAATAAGCCATCGCGAGCATTGTACCGAAGTCGTTTGCGACTTCCTTGCCTGCTTACAGAGCGTTTCTGGTTGTTTGAAAACCAAGGAAAGCTCTCCTTCTAAGTGTGTGTGTGAGCGTGTACGCTTGGTCGCAGCGCTGCTTTCACCGGAGTCGGTGAAGTGAGCGGCGTGAAAGGTTATGTGTGTTTTGTGTTAGAGATGACACGGGGGGAGTGAGGTGAGACGCTCAGGTCAGACTTACTGGATAAATCAATCGTTTTTGAAGGAGAGAGTGGCAATTGCCCTGGCCGTGTTCTTACTAGCCCTCCCTTTCTATTCTGTTACTTTACGGTTGTGTTTGATTGTGGTCCACCTACACGTGTGTGTGTGTGTGTGTGTGTGTGTGAGAGAGAGAGAGAAAGAGAGAGAGAGAGAGAGGGGTATTAAGGGATCGTCGAGGGTACTAGGGCGTGACAGAACATTTTATTCTAACGCACTACACCATGCCAAACAAAGCGAAGCAAATCCAGATTTCCTTTAAAAATAGCAATTTCTCTTTTATCTTCCCCCTCCTGTATGGTCTGACACTCTGTGTTTCCTCCGTGTGTGTTTCTACCGTGTCGGCCTTTAAAGTATTGTCAGCCGAACACTTGACTCATGATCTAATGACGAAGCAGAAAGTATTGACTCGCCGTTATATAAATCCTTTTAGATAAATTCTATAGAAAATTAATTCCCTTGAATATATCCGTTTTCTCTTTCATCTTTCCTTCATATTTCATTTTTCTGACCTTGTTAATGGTGTGCAGAAATTTCGATTCATATTGTCGTGAAATGCGTGATTGAAGTTTAAAAATAGTCTCTCTCTCTCTCTCTCTCTCTCTCTCTCTGTCATTTGTTAGAACGTTGACAAATACCTAACTATTACCGTTTATATTCGTATCAAGCAGAAACTGAGACAGACAGTTCATCACATCTGTTGATACAACAGTTACTGGATGATGAGTAAGGAATTCCCAAAGAATTTCTACCGTCTACCATCATGGAAAATAGAGAAGAGTCGAAAAAAAGAAGCATGAACTTCCGCCCGCAGTAGACAGAGGAGTACATGTAGTACAGTGTAGTAGTAGTCAAAGTAGTACATGATGTAGATGAAATGCATGTAGTAGTAGTAGTAGAACCTTGTAGTAGTTGTAGTGAAATTACAAGACTTTTTGTGCGATTTTTTAAATTTCCAAATATCCTAAATGGATCAAATAACTTTAAAGTCATTTAAACACTGATTAAATGTCATTTAATTTCAATTAAATTCTCTTGAATGCAGTTATGAACTGTATCAATTTATTCAACTTATTGTACAATCCACCTACTTTTAGTTGCAAATAAACGTTATTATTATTATTATTATTATTATTATTATTATTATTATTAGTAGTAGTAGTAGTAGTAGTAGTAGTAGTAAAAGTGGTAGAAGCAGCAGCAGCAGCAGTAGTAGAAGTAGTGGCGGCACATGCAGTACATGTAGTAGTTGTAGTAGTAATAGTAGTAGTAGTAATAGTAGTAGTATCTATTATCTTTTGTGTATTTAAAGTATTTGCACCAAAGTATCTTGAGACGTCCATGTGGTTAACATAAGCAAAGGAAAACACAGGGATTTATAAAATAGTGTGAGATCTATTTACTGATGGAGAATACTCTCTTCTGCATCTCCGAGGCAGTTGTTGTGAACATTTATGGCTTCAAAATTTGAATGAGTTTTATAATTAGTAATCGTCGTGACAATAAGTTTTCAGACAGCGAAAAAGCGATCGATTGTTTGAGGTGATTTCCTATCACGAAATAGTGCGAGTTCAATACACATGCATCTATCAATTAACGACATGATTCTATTGGCCAATTAAACGACAGTTATCCAAATAAAATTTTCGTATCAGGGTAAGTATGAAAGCTATGCTACATCCCCTTCCCATTCTCAGCCAAAACCAGACCCGGGGGGGGGGGGGGAGGGTCAAAGTGGGCAAACAACAAGTATCAAGAATGCTTTGTTTCTGCCTATTTTTTTAATGGGCCCATCCCTTACAAAACTATGTCAATCATTTCCAAGTCACGACATATAAAAGGCATGGAATACATAGGAAAGCCACATTGCTGTCAGCCCGAGTTTATACGAGTCTACAGGAGACTGATAACTGTCACGACACCCGGTGAAGACAGTTTTCCTTTATAAGGTAAACCACAGAGACAGAATACCGCTATATGTGACTTCCAGACAGAATAAATCTAATTTAGTCTCTAGTTTACTGAAAATCAGCTAATTATCATCATTTCATTTTCTTTCATTATTAACTTTATTTATTTATTATTATTATTATTATTATTATTATTATTATTATTGAACGACAACTTTCTTAGTTTCTTCTCTAGCCTTCTGTAGTAGTCCATAAAGCATCTGTCTCACAATTAATAAAATATTTACGGAAAGAAAGAAACTATAGTAAATCCGCCAGAGAGCGCAGACCTCAGCCAAGACAAATAATTAACCATTAATTAATCAATGGATCATCCCCAAAATCTTATCACTTTAAAGTTAATTTATTTGGACCTATCTTGAAAATTCTATCAGAATTACTCCATGACATTTTAAATTATTCTGGTGACAGATAAATAGACAAACGGAGGTGAAAACACAAACCGTACAAATCCTTTTTTTAAATACGTTTCTTCCAGGCGGTTTCTAGTGAACCAAGTGTTTTCACAGAGACTTTTCAACCAATAAATGTCATTAACACCAGAGAATAGTGATGTTACACGATTTTATACATTAAGTTTTCAGCTTGAAAAAGTAAGTTTCAGCGACATTAGTATTGTATAAGCCAATGACATCTGCCGTTGCTAAGTCTTTTACGCCTACATACGACTGATTGCCTTGGAACAAATCGGTGCAGTTTTCACATTAAGTCGCGTGTAGTGCATATCTGGTAAAGAACCGCTATGAATCCTCAAATCTAATCTAACGTGCAACATGTACGTTTAAGTGTTCTTATAATATAAATATACGGAGATAGTGTGTACGAGCATTGGTCCCATGTTGTTTTACATGTAATCTTACTAATCCTGTGCCAGGAAACTTCAAACTATTAAGTTCAGAGCTTATTATTAACGTTTACCTTAACAGAGGGCAAAGGCAAATTCTTACACTATTGCAGTGTTTTGACATTACTATTTTAAAATTTTGCCCTATTTTATTTTGATAACAGTTATTACAGTGCTTAATAAACGCTGAGAGTCACACGTGCCTGTCTTGGTTAACGCTAACTTTTGAACCGACTGTTTCTCCGGAAATAATACCCACTCACTAATCATTTAAATTTCACATCACATTTCATAACAGCAAATATCCCAGCGGCACCGAAGATCAAATTGCTAGAACCCTCCAGTACCACGACTCTCCCTATTATTGTAATATGCGCGCGAGACAATAGCGCTGAGGCCATTAACAAGCCGTGATACGCTATATCATAATGCCGTTCTCTCCACGCTTTCTCTGCGCCTTAGAAAAAATCTTTTCTCCGTGTCATTCCATCACCCAACGGGCGCCAAGCACATCTTTCCGCTTGCTTCACTTTACGAAATGTTATGACGAGGTTGAAAGGGAAATTGTCCTCGCGAATAAAAGGTGTCGACAACCAAGTCTACGTAATGCACAGTTAATATTTGTCCATAAACACAAGTCGTATGAATGGGCGATACGGCATTAAAACACGCGCTGTGAAAAGAACGGAAAATGGGCCGTAATAGACTTGGTTAGACTTATTTGATTCTCTTTCGGAGAGGGCCCACAACGCAGACTAACGATTCTTCTCTCTCTGTTAGTTTTGTTGTTCGCGGGAGATGCCGGGGCAGTAAGGAGACCGCCGTTGGGAAAAGAAGAAAAATGCATTCTGAACTTACGGCTCAGAGGTGTTTCAACCCGGCAGTGGCTTTTTCCCGCGTCATTACTTTGGCGTTTTGATCTTTTCCTTTCATTTCATATTCTTTTGTAAACCCAGTTCCTAACTCTGTTAATGTACTATATTCTGCAAATGCGAGATCTATCACTACTGCGCACGTAGAGGGAAATCTAATTTTTGTCAAGAAGATGATCTCTACGTCATTCGGCTTTGAAATTAAAAATAAACCTTTCCTAGTGTGTACACGAACATTTCATCATTACTCTCTCTCTCTCTCTCTCTCTCTCTCTCAATTTTACTGAAATGCACTAGGACGAGCAAACAGTCGCTTGTTAAAATATGAAAGAAAAACATCTCAACTCGAAATAAAGATTACGTGATAAATCAGAGATCAGGGAGCTTGTACATGTACTTCTATTTGTACTGGGTGCTTATATAAGGATACAGTCTATTTTTTATCAGATCGCCACTACCTCTGTCTACAAACTATGAAAAAAATTAGAATAAATTAGGACTGTTGTAGTTAGATACAGTATTTAAGCGTTTTGGGGATTTTCTGGCCAGTCAAAAGGATGGTTGAGAAACATTGGAAAATTGATGAAGTCCTGAGATGAATTGGTAAAAATAACTTCCTTTGACTTAAACCATACGCGCTTTGTTTCAAAGCACGCACACTCACAAACACGCGTGCATACACACACACACACACACACACACACACACACACACACAAGATGTACCTTAATTACAATTTAAGTATTAATAACGTGCAGTTACATACGCATTCAGAGGACTGAATTTATGCCCCATCAATGCAAAACTAAAAAAGGTGGCAAAAATAAAATGTATACAGCAAACGTATATACAAGTATACTCAGTTGTGTACTTGGTATTTTTTGTAATGCATTTACATCTTCAATTACAAGCAATGAGTGAGTACAAAGTACAGTAGAAGTTTTCAACATAATAAAACAGTAGGATAAAAACACTGTCCACAGCATTGATAAAATATCTCGACATAAAGACCTTCACTAATTATTAACCTTGTCTACGTCCAACCTGTTTAAAATGTTCATCTTGCTATAGTTCCGAAAAATATTTTTTGTCAATACAATTAATCAATAACCTGAAAAAGTGCTGCAAGCGAGATTTTGCTGACACTAAATTTATTCTTAGACATCGCCATTCTAGTTCACATCAGCGTCACTAACGCCATCTATTGGCAGTATATATAACTTAAGCGACGTCACGTCTGGCAACAATTCTATATAATTTAATAACTGCACTGATGGAAATACCTTGAAATATTTTTGGCTTTTCTTAATACCTTATTAGTAAATCTTACCTAACCCCTTTAAAAACTAAGGATAGTCCTGTGGCTTTAATGGCAAACACAAACGCCGGGGTTGGATATAAATCCGCGGTCTTCTTTGACAGTGACTGGCAAGTGCATCGCTTCCTTTCGGTCACTCGGTCACGATATTATTAAATATTACCGCACGTGTTGTGGTTCCACTTTTGTCATTATCATAACAAAAATGAGAGCATCAAAAAAAAAAAAAAAAAAAAAAAAAGACTTGCTTGGCTCTATACTGTACATTAAGGTAATAAAAGGCATTAAGACCGAGTTTGGGAAGGGGCGAATGAAACTACATGTAAGAGTAATGGCAAGTTACCTGATTTGTGGTCTTCAATAAATGGGAGGGACTCTAGGGAAAGAGGACGGGGTGAGGAGCTAACTTTACCGGGTCGTACCCCGAAAGTGCCTTACCTGGTTTTATATGGTCCGTAAAAGGCGCCCCCAGGGCCGGGGTAGGAGAGTGTTTACTGGGCATGCGCTCACTGCTCATCGCTGTGTTCTGGACACAAGCTGGAATAGGAAAACTTCAAGTATAGTCAGAGAAGAGGGTTAAAACGTTTAAAACACTTAAAACACTGTCAATTGTGTACGTGGTCGACCAGATAGTCATCGCCTTATTTTGCAAAAATATATTAGAAACATTAGGCGTATCCCGAAGAACACGGGTTTTCTAGAATTTGTTATAAAGAATGCTGATTGAAATTAAATAATCATTTTTCATTCCACTGAGTATTTGAAATGGAAACCCTAAAGTTTTGAATTTTCACCCTGTCCACAAAATATCCGAACTGCTTCTCATGTCGTCTGCCGCGTCCAGGATGTCGGATATGTGAACTTTTTTCCAACGAAGAAAACCATAATCCACAATAAGTTGCATATTTTAAGTGAATATTTTTAGTTAAGTTTTACTCAGCTATTCCAATGCTATTTACTTTTTATATACTTTGTCAGAGTTATATTAAAATTCTCTTAGAAATGGAACGTCATAGCAACAAAATGAAATGTCAGCTTTCATTTCAAAATACCTGTATTTATGTACTTAAACATATGGAAACAATTCCAGGAAGTGAGTCTTCAATAAATTTTCATTCGTTGACATTCATATTTTCATCATAATCGATTTAGCTGGTTTTAACTGCAGCCTGCCTATTCAGATTAAATATCGTCTTCGTTTAAATTTCAACGCAAAGTATACATTTTTTAAACTTTTTACCAACACCACGTCCTTAAAATAAGAAAACATATAAATACATACGGTCGCCGAATACTCACCCACCTTTCTAGATTTGAAAAAATTTTGGCAGAAAGCAACTCTCACCATCAGACCGCGCGTATCGTGTAGCGGAAAGAAATTCACACCTTCGATACAAGCACCAGTAAAAAAAGGGCATGCAGCTTTGACAAGTTAATCAACATAAATAAATAAACAGCATTCCGGTCGCATTACATCGCGATAAAAGACATTATCTGAATAATGTCTTAACATTCAGGTTTCCTTTAATATTCCCTCGTAAACCGCGGTCTCATATGACTAGAGTACAATGCTGGCTGCGAGCACAATGGAGAGAGATGATGACATATCTTGCGCTCACGAGAGCAGGTGCTTTTCAGATACTTCACTGCTGTGATTGATAGGTGATTAGCTGCGCTTAAACAGTTAGACCCGCATTCGATCCGCGGTGAAAGAATAGAAGCGGCTACTGTGAGCTTATTGTTGGACACTAAACGCACAATCGTAATTATTGTTTGTTCGTCACTCCAAAAGCTGGCCATAAAAGTGAACCGCAGTAAAAATGTTATTTATTGAATCATTTTTGACGTGGCTCGTTGTTTATTTAAGTTTTGAGAAAAGTGACGAACAAACGCATATTTTCCTACGGCGGCAAACCGTAATACGGCCGTGTGTTTAAAATGTGTTTTTGTAGCTTTTTATTAACAAGAACACGTGGTGTGGAGCGGCTACAAACAACACAAATATGAAGTTACAGATTATTAATGTCTTTGTGTTACGAATGTTAAACTGCCACATCATTTTGCTCAAACAGGTTAAAACACCATGTGGTATAAATTTGAGTATTTTATGTTATCTGTGAACAATATTTATGGCTCTTCGACGAAATAAACTGGTAAGGCAAAGAGAAATTGATTAAAGACAGAATTGTCATATTTTGTCGAGTGAGTTCTGTCTTAAAAAGGTAATGATGGGAGTTGATAGAGAGAGAGAGAGAGAGAGAGAGAGAGAGAGAGAGAGAGAGAGAAAAGGGGGAGAGAGAGAGAGAGGGACAAGGAGAGGAAGCAAAAGAAGAATATTATTTTCAAATTTCTGTTGTATATTTACTTTGTTGCAAGAAGTTCAGATGCGCCATGAAGACGTCGGCGTTATTTGGAGTCGTGAGTTGACTGAAATCTTCCCTGGTCATTCGACACAGCTCGCGGCCCTCTATTCCGTGGAACTTCGATATTTCCAAGCCCTGCAGCCCGTACTCTCGCACCCCCCACTCCAGCCACTGACGGACGTGATCGGCCGTCCACAGAAGGGGGTCTTCAAAAGAAGGAATGAAACACGTTTGTTACCATGAGTGAAAAAAAATGTAAAGTGTATATCTAAGAAATCTCATATCACCCAATGCATTCTCCTGTACTTATATATTCTCTCTCTCTCTCTCTCTCTCTCTCACACACACACACACACACACACACACACACACACACACACACTTCCACCGTTAAAATCTGCACTACACCAAAACAACAAGAGACACAATGCGCATCATTCTCATGATTTAAGGCTACGATGCATTAAAAACCACTCGAGACTGCAGACAGAGGGTCAGAACGCTCCGTGACCAGAGGTCATTCCTTACAGCGTCCCGCTGAGTGGCCACAGGATAACCCTCCTCACCTGCACGGCAGCAGTTAATTCACGTCTACGAGATGCTATCGTGTCCAGGCTGTTTCCTTCAATTTTGCTAAGAATTTTATGCCACAAATATGCCTTTGATTTTGCAAAGACATCTTCAACGTCCCTCTCTCTCTCTCTCTCTCTCTCTCTCTGTGTGTAATTCTGCTATGTAATTTTTCTAACTATGGTTACAAATGTCAAAAGGTAAGATTAAAATTTAACTTTCGGAAAGAACTGAAATAAATATCATACTCAAGAAAGGTCACCACCAAATGGCAATGGACAAAAATCATTTCGTAAAAAAAAGTTCTGGTTTCTTGTCCATTTTCCATTTTCTTTGTGACGTGATATGAAGAAAATTGTCCAACTTAAACCCGGTAATGACATTATTAGAGTCCAATTTAGAGTGTGTGACACGCACTTAGGTGAGTAACAAGTGAATCACTCAGTTGAAACTCAGTGCGCAGACGGCATTTTTCACACAAGCGTCATGTGACCAATACGCCTAGATCGTCTGCCGTCTTTCATTTATTTCGAAATTAATGCAACAAAATAACGCTCTTTTCTGAAACTTTGATTAATGATAATGTAGCTTCATTTTCTTTCCTTTATATTTCCCCCGCCAGATCAATGTGTCTTAAAATGAGGGCTGCCTAGGCGTAGCATGAATCTGTATTTTAAACAGAGTGCCGAAAATATTTCGAAATTAAAAAGTATATATTTTTTAATATAAAATATTTAAAATTAACTTCACGTCAAGTCAGACATAGATCTAGGCCTACTATCGTCTTATTCAATTATAAAATTATTGTATACATGCTTTTTATATAACTTATGAGTTTTTTATTATATTTTTTTAATTCAGTAGTATGATCTAGCTATAGATATAACGACATTTCAACTGGCATCAACCGATGTCTTATTTAAAATGAATCTGATGTTCAAAAGACAAAATACAGAAACTTTTATCAATAAAGCAATATTGGTCGTCTGAATTAGCTTTTATTTGGCTAAATATGAGGAGCTAACAAAAATATAACTTCCCTATCTATTACAAACAAAATAACGTCTTATACATATAAGAAGCAAAATTACAAGAAAAGTTTTCCCAAGAAACCTAAGCGTGCATTTATGTTTTGATATTTGACACTCTTAATATTTGTTCTTGCCATTATCTAACGAACAGCTGCTTTGTCTTCTTGTAGAACTTTTTCGATTAAGAATCGAAATGATATCAACAAATTTTGTGAGACATCAATATACCTGTACTGAAAATGGACACTTTAGCCGTGTGTAACCCACGTGTATTAATAAAGAATCACGCGTTCGATACACAAGACAGGAAATGTAGAACGCTTTGTTGAAATATCGCAATATTAGAATGCATTTAACAATGCCAACGAAGAACAACTTTAGACACGGTCAGAAACAAATGAGTCGCACTGCGTCTCGAATGGTCCTGGGAATTAAGCAGTTTCAGCCGCAGACTAATTATCCCTAATGAAGAAGAAATGAACTATTAACATCACGGGATTGTCGGCAAAAAGATCCAACGCCTGCTGATGTTCTCATGACGGGTCTTCATTTGGAGTGTCATCACAATCAAATTACGAAATAATTGATAGGATCATATGTCTTTGACTGCGCGGCAAAATTAAAGCATAATTTGCCGTCTTTCCAATTGCAATTTACCTGTAGCCTTTTTTTCCTGAAAGGAAGCTTGCGTTTTCGATCTTACTTTGTGTGTCAAATGGGATGACAAAAACGTATTTTCTAGAACCTGTCGTATTATATAAAAGTATTTCATTATTTCACAGTCTTAAAAAAGAATTTTTCCAGATTTATATTAAGTTGAGATTAACAACTAGTTGACAGAAAGTGCATTTAAATGAGGAGAAATCCTAACAGAAAATGCGTTTTTATTAAATAATTTGGAGGATGAGAAAAAGAAACTCGTTGTTGAATGTTCCATTTATCATTATCATATGTAAAATGAAATATTTTTCTATCTTTTTTAACAAGACGTATTTCAGTATAGGTAGGACTGATATTTTGTACTAGAATATAGATCTTGCTCTCAGTCTATATTCGTCTCTTTTTTCTTTATTTTTTATTATTGCCTCTCCTTAATTTATAACAACAAAAGCACTCATTTTCACACGACTTTTTCTTTCTGTTAATTACGTGACATCTAAAAGTAGGCAACACTAAACCAAAAATTATTTGTTCACAAAAATACCAGCGCCTCCGCGTTAACCGATCAAAAACGCATTCACATGGGAACGTCTGGACTGTAACGTCGCCAAGAATACCAAAGACCCCATCTTCAAGAAAAAGTGCAAATGTTTTTCCTTTCCTTTTCCGTCCTTTTTTAACAGGCAGCCACCCAAATGAGCAAGTTTCTTTATATCAAAAACTATTTCGCCAATATCTAACATTAAACACACTTAAATGCTTGAAAAGAAGTTATAGATTTAAAAATAACCTTGGCGTGGTTCGCATTTTGTAATTTATAGGTAAATTGATAAAGTATTAGAGAAATGATTAAACTAGGCGTAGATTTGACGCTAAACCGGTGCATAAAAATTTTGAATTATTGGCAAAACACAGCGGGCACCTGTACCTGCACGTTTCCAACTACAATACATACACCATATATCTAAATGTACAACCCCCGCACGGTCGCGTTGAATTACAGCAAATAGACGCAGCTCCAGTGCATTGTCTTACTTTTGGAGAAATAGGTCATCGCGTTAATTGTGTGGATCCAAAAATATTGCAAAATCACGAGTTTTTGTTTTATTAAATGGGATTCATTCTGCCTGCGATATTTGTAACCAAAATAACTAGGTTTAGACACCTGCGTTGATGGAAAATAAATCGAATATTTATTTATTTATTTATTTTTGTAAATAAGTAGGTTTTTATGCAAATTTCTCACAATACAATATCTTTTAATTCTGTTTTAATGACTGGCATTGAAACTTTGTATAGCATTTGATGCTATCATTATCATATGAAAAAAAAATACCGTTAAAAGCAAAATGGACCATACTGTAGATTCGATATAAGTGACGCAGTTTAAACTGGGCGTGCGTGACGCGTCTGCAGAAATCGACAAGATTCCTCGAAGACCAGCAGGTGCTGTTGCGTATGTCTCACGACTTAAAATGGACAAGCATGAAGCGTGCTGTGCGCAGCTTTATACGAGCCACAATACACAGCGAGCTTTACATTTCCTGCATTTGTGCGAAGAATATGAGGCATTATATGTGACAGGTCACTTCTAAGAGCACTCCAATACAAAGGTAGATTAATACCCGTAATTAGGATATTCTGCAATTTAATTCACGTTCAAGTGCGCTTCCTTAACAAGCAACTTGCCGAAGATGTCTTTATTCATCACGTGATTATAAATCCCTAGAAATCGAAACATTTACTTGAAAATCAAAGAAACGACGAAGAACTGAACTTAAGTATAAATCTGTCTTTCAAGTTTAGAAGTGCTTGTATCCAGTTTAAGAGAAAAGCACCGAAAATGGGACCAGTGCATTTCTGAAAATATGTACCAGCTTTTGGAAGGCTGGCGCTGAAAACATTTTCTTACCTTCTGTTTGAATGGCAATACTTTGTTGACTCGGGTTTGTTTTGTAGACTGACTGCTACAAATTGTAAATATATTTTTTAAAAAAGCAGATTTTTTATCGGTCGTAATTAGAGTAAACACAATTGAGAAGAAAAAATTTGCACCTAACGACTGTTTTCATTTTCGATTAAATTTAACTGAAATACGGAACACAAAAGACAAGATCATCGTTATCAGTTACTGTTCTCGTTTAGCAAATTAAAAGGAAAAATATCAAATTAACAAGTTTCATATCTAAAGCCGTGTTTCAAGCCCTTTGTGACTCACAACAGGTTGGTTGTTTTTTCTTTGAAAACAAGGACGTCTGGAATCCCGCCTTAACATTTATTACTATTTTGTAATTATTCAAGAGTTAAAATTCTCTTCACTGTTCTGCTTAATTTATCTTTGAACTCCATAAAAGATCACAGAAAATTAGAAAGATAGATAGCAATGTAATGTGCAGAAAGACAAAAGGTCGTAATTGCCATTTAAAAGTGGCTTAATTGTTTTAAGCGCCCTGAGTTATAATTCACACTTAATAGGCCATTTGCACACCGAAAGTGTGACTTAAATTGTTGGAACATTTGTGTTTAGTGAAAGAGAATACTGAAATGTTCAGTTAAAAGTGCATTTTGCCACTCTTAACACTCTTACACACAATTTATCTATAACCAAAAATACCGTTGTTATATAATATGAGGATAGGCAATGTTCAATACACAACAGAATTACAGATGTCTCATGATATGAAACTCCGTATCTGGTAGGCTTTATAGACCTGATTAAAATGTTCAAATAGATGAAATGGACAAGGAATGGGGCAAGTTATCAGTGGTAGCCTGAACGATTTTTGACTTTAAAAGACTAACAAAACTATTAACACACACACACACACACACACGCATACACATTTACCGGTACGCACAGAGAGAGAGAGAGAGAGAACTTGGAAAACCCAAAGCAAACTAAAATATCTAGAGTGCGGTATTAAGAAAAGAAAATAGTCTTAAATATTTACATTATATAAACGATTTTTAAATACATTTAGTAAAAGGACCCCAGTACCCCTTGTAATTTGGAAATTATAAATAAAACCAAAAACATACTTATACAAACTAACAGAAAGAGAACGCTTAGATTATTTTGAGATAGTATTTTACATTTCAAACTTACAAAAAAAAAAAAAATGCTTACCTTCACAAATTAATGTACAGATATAATCCTAACTTTAAGTAAAACAACCTTAGTATGATTTTTGTAATAAGTAATTTCCGTATTTTTTTACTTTCTTTTTTTTTCTTTCCAATTCATTTTTCATTTTCATGATTACAATTATGCTGATTAAAGAAGAAAAAATGTCATGTCCACTTACCGGCAGGCACGATGACCCGCTGTCCTTGGGAGTGGGAACGTTGCTGTTGTTGCTGTTGTTGTTGTTGTATATGATACATCTGTTGTTGCTGATGTAGGTGATGATGATGATGATGATGTTGATGATGGTCATTCCGCAAGTCGTCTGCGCGACAAGTGTCTATGTTATCACATAACGGGCGTTCTATCTTACACGAGATGTTACCCCCAGTGGTGGAAGGCGGGGTGCTGGTTAAGTGTTGTTGTTGTTGTTGTTGCACCGTTGGGGCAGCTTGCTGGCTTTGGAGATTAAAATCTGATTGGAATAATTTTCTTGAATCCATACTTTTGTAATTTCTGGGTAAGTTGTCTTTTACTACTTGATACGAGTCTACGGTGTTGGACCCAAGAGGCGGGGGTGTATTAAAGGCGGATCGATTCTGCGTTTCTTCACACCCTCCTTGCAACGCAGACGACACCGCCACGCCTAGGTCTGCGCCACCTCCCATGGCGCAGTCGGTCCAGTCGTAAGACCGCGCGTGCAGCATGTCGTCCTCTCTTTTCAATTTGATTTTTGTTTTATTCAACGTGGAAGACTTGTGAAATATTATATTAGGCGGTCCAGCGTATGTCTCTTCAAAATCTTTCCAGTAATTCGGCCCCACAGACGACTGTTTTATATTTCGTGGGCACCCTATTTTAAAATCGTCTGCCGGTTTGTTATGATTGTCAATGCCGTAATGAGGTGGCAAATATCCAACCTCGGCAAATACTGTGTTTGTCTTGCTCCTTTGAGAAACTTCGCAATTCTCTACCTCGCAGTGTTTAACCGGGCCTTCTTCTGTGTCAGTATATGGTTTTTTATCAGAGCGATTGATTAAAAACAAATCCTGCGAAACCGAGTCCGATTCTGTCCCCCGTGGTTTCTCAACTCCTAATGGTTCCTCTGTGGCCTCTAAATCCTATTAATAAAAATCAGGCATAATCATCTTGTTTTATTTTTGTATATGATCTGCCTTGTCACAATTATAATAAATCTGTCTTTATGAGATAGCAATTAGCGATTTCTTGGAGGCCGTCTGCTTCTCCCGTTTTCCCATCCCATAATTTCCCACACCACACATTTTCATCCATCAAAATTAATCAAATTGAAACGCAACGTCATCTTAAATCCGATACAAACACCTTAACGTCAGTATTTGACTCTCAGGTAATTAATTGCATTCTGATTCGGGGATGAACGTAACATGGGTGCACTATGTTAATCTAGTGACTTGTTTTTTTGGCCAAATAGCCGAATTACACCAGTCTCCAAGGGAATCAGCGTTGTTAGCAGGCCGGTGTACCGAACGTTCTTTACTGGTAAGTGGGAGTCGTGGCCAGCGTGACGAATTCAGCAATTAACGGGTGCTGAATAAGTATTAACCAGACGACAGCACCGCGTAATGAGCGCCTATCCCATTTCTGGGAAAATCCCATCAATTATACCTGTAACCCATTAATAAGTTCCTATACATTTCGTACAACTACCTATAGACGCCCGCGATCTGTCGTTGAAATGAGCAATAAAATCGCGTGGACCGTTTACTTCGTTTCATAAGCAGGCGTTAAAAAAAGCGTCTACTCACCATAATTCATGAAACCGTGACTGCATGAGGCGGCACGCGTAATAGTGTGAAGACCCGACCGCAGCTCTACATCAACGTAGAATAACTGGTCGAATGAATAAACATTTCTGATTTCGCGACGTCTCTCTCTCTCCCTCTCTCTCTCTCTTTCACTTACTTTTCAATCAAATCAAACCCAGCAGACCTGTTTGGTGATCTTGAGTGGACTTCGACAACTATCGGTATGTTTACAACGGAAACTTACGTTATCAGACTTGTTCACGAAGGAAACGAGGCCTGTATCTCCGGAAAACCTCCACACCGAGCTACAAGTGAGTCACATCCGCTCGAAAAGTTGGCATGAAAGAACGCTGAACTGGTCCAGGATACCCCGTGACAGAGGTTCACGGACACACATCCCTTATTGTCTCGTACTGACCAATTCACTTTTCTGGACTACTGTCGGGATTTTCCCCTCTGCGTTTTTTTTTCTTTTCTTTCATTTCCTAATTTATTTCACATGCCCATTGCAGTTTTTTCAGTGCAGCTGCATATCGTTGTGATTCATATAAATACGTACAAATGTGATGCCTCTCTTTTATTCTTCACATTTAAATGTGATTAAAATAAAAAAAGTTACATAGCTGCACTTTTTTAAAAGTTTAAAAAAAGTTACTAACTTAAAGTCATCTACGTAACTAGAAACGAGATTCCTCCCGCGGCTTTATGTCAATGGCTTTCATTCAACGCCCGAAGAAATACAACTTTCATAGTTTATCATTCTACGAATTACACATTTAACATTAACTAGCCTGTTTTCGACCTCATTACACTTACTTCCTTTCGACTTCTTATCAGGGAAGTCTTGGCCTAATATATTTAATGTCTTCCGTGGAGCAAAGGGCATTACGTATTAAGATGTTCTAGAAATTTAGTCTCTGCTGATACTGATAGCGTTTCAGAGGCCGGTTTTAGAGGATTTGCGCCGCTCTATATTTCACGATAGAATGAAAAATTTAGGAAAATGTTTTGTACCTGTGTCATATCATTCTGAATCATACTCCATGATATTTAGCAACATGTAAATATTGCTAAGGTTAATTTTTAGAGAGATTGCCAAGGCCGCATGAATTGACTAAAATATGATTTAGAATCACGTGCAAATCTGGGCTTGCTGTTAAGACAGCCTGATGTACATTAAGGAGTCATCCATTTTCATCATCATATTCACAAGTCTAAAAAGGGTAGACGTTTTCCAGACCCCTTCCTCCTCCTCTCCCCCCCCCCCACCCCCCAAGAGCGTACACATTGAAAAGCAAAAAATGATGATCTTGATCAGCAATGTGGATGATCATTTCCCTTATTTTTCAAAAGCGTGCACACGGCATCCCCCCACCCCACCCGGCGTAGTTTGTACACTTGTGAAAATGATGATAAAAATGGATGGCCCCTTATAAATATCTTCCAATAAAAAGCTGGTGATCCAATTTTGGTTTTGTTTGACAAGATGATGCGTAAAAGACTTGACTGGAAGAACACCAAGTCACCAAAAGCACAGGCGATCTGGCCACGCTCTTTACGCCAAGAGGGTATATAATATATACAGATTAAGACAACATTAAAATTGAATTCTTACAGTTGGGCCATCTTGCCGATGTCTTTGTACATGACTTCTTCACATGATACAGATCAGACATTCGGGGGAGTTGGTTTTTCATTTCCATTCACATGACGAGTCATGTGAGCATGCTTGTTTGATGACGTTTTGTAAGACCGTGCCTCATGAACAGAAAACATTTTTGGTCGCTTTAGAAAGGACATAGAGATGACCTTCACTAGCTGTGTTATGTACTAGAAATAAATAAGTGATTTTTTCTTACCAACAGCTAATATTGTAAAGAAGACATTCCATGATTTAGTTGGTATTTCCATAGTGTATACTACGCAAATAACATCGGAAAAATGTACTAATTAACTTGAAAAGAAAAAGAAAATACGACAACCTATCTTGTATACGTTTATACTGAAAAAAAAATACTTTATTCTTAAAAACGACTCATTTTTATCATCAGTTTAAGTAGGTATTCCTAGCTCTCGGCGTCTCACTGACCTAATTTGTCCGCCCACCATCAGCTTAGCGCTCGCCGTACTAGTGTGCGCTTGCCTTAACAAATTCGCATCAAATAACCGTTTAAGAATATATTTTTTTCTTGATTTATTCGCCTGCTACATTTCTGCCTTGGTTAACAACATATATGTATGTAAGCACTGTTTTCATTTTCATTTTGGCAACTTCTCTTTCATTGACTGAAATTCCAATGTACACGACAGGGCCTACCGATTCACAGCATGACAAAGTTACCCTCTACAAGGTCCAAAAACAAAATTCTCACGAGTTATTCACATACCGGTATATTGTTTTGCTAATTTCTGTAGTGCGAGAAAAATTTGCACAGAATTTCAGGAATGACGTCACGACCCAGCTGTCCTCTCCCAGAGAGTATAGCGAAGTCCCGGTACATATATTTTAAACACTGTTTTGTACATCAGGTGCGTTTACACGAGGTCTGAAGTTGGACCGTTAAACGACTAAAAAGTCACAAGACAAGCGCACCAATTTACCAGTCGGGCGATATGTACTTGTGCGAGAGAGGGTCTGTAGACAAATCCCACCGCCTCTCAGGTAATGAAATCATAACCGACTTTATTTGGTCGTCTGCATGGCGACGTGTTTTCGAACTTACATCGGTTTAAGTTTAAGGCTGCTTCTGAACGCGTCCTAAGGCCTCTTTCTGCACGTAAACTACGGGCTGATTTATTTCAGTGGTGATTTCTGGACACAGTGGCTTGTTTGAAGCAGTGGTAAAAATTGTAGACTTTCACACAAACTGTGAATGAATCTGTGGTTTTCAGCACGCTTTGTGGCCTGTTATCTACACAGAGATGGTTGTAGTTCTATTTGACTTCTATCTGTGGCGAACATTTTTTCGGTGTCTTCGTGAATTAAGAGGCAGGTTAAAAGAGTAAGGATATTTTGAATATCATTTCCGTTAAACCTGTGTTTATTTTATCTATTTGTCACTTACTCTTAATAGTTTATCATCAGGTTCTGAATTTAGATATTACCGCCGAAAAGCTGATTTGAAGTGTGTAAAAGTCATAGTACAGTTTGCAAATAAAACCACAAAAATGAATTATTGATAAGTGTCAAAAAAGAGACATTCCATAATTAAGTTGGCATTTCCTTATTGCGTTGTGCAAATATTAGCGGGAAAGTGAAATACAAAGTTAAAAAAAAGAAAATATAAAAACATAATATGAAACTATGGCAATTTCTAAATTAAAAAAAATGTTTGGAAAGCTAAGTTAAGGTTTGGTAAATACTCCATTTCATATTTATTGTATCTTTTTTTAAAAACAAAAATACAAACGAAAAATCATTCGTGGAAAATCTATATTTAACAATCTAAAAAGGACAACCGTATAGTAAAGCGTCCATGTCACTGTAGGTGGCAATTTGCGGTAGCATTACAATTGCGCGCGACCATTTTAAACCCTTGTACAGTAGGTTCTTCGATGAAAAATTACGTCCTCATTTCTGAGAAGCCTAATAAAGAGGCAATTGTCTTTTTATTCGAACCAAAAGCACAAAAACAACTTAAATGTAAAGCGCAATACTCATGACTTAGCCGGCCGATAGGATAGTCTTTCAATATGGAGTTTAGTCAAATTTCTATGTATTTGTTGCTGTGGGATATGTTTACTTTTAAAATCAAAGGTGTTTACCATGAAATTCATTTATAATTATTATAATTATTGTTATTAATTTTTTGTAGAATATTGATTTTTATAAGAATTTCTTAGATAGGACATCTTGCGTTTATGAACACGCGTTTCTTAATGTTTTTTTTTCTGAAATCACAGCATTTGGAACGTACTCTCCACGAAAAAAAAACCCACAAAAACTTCCCTGATTCACAAATAAAACTGTCTTTAACTGGTAAACGATCACGCGGATATCCGTTGTTGGCCACGATTTTTAGAAGCACATCACAATTTCCTAAATGCTTCAAAATTTTAAAATCCAAGCCAAAATTTAGAATGAAATATTGAATAAGAGTGGTTTCGAACTGTCAGCTGACAAACTATCAATGCATCCGCAATTTTCCTTACCATCATATCAAAAAGCGTGTTATCTTGTTTGTGATAATGAAAGACTCAAAGATGCAGTAGTTCCGATCTCGAATTAACCATAATATTCTTGTCACAAATTCATTGCTTTTCAAATATACCAAAAGCTAAATAATAATATTTGTTCCCTTGGCAAAAGACCTAAAGAAACAACAGAGCAATTATTTTGGAATTGTGATGCTACCCAAAAAACTACTGACTGAATTGGCAGAACATATATATTATCTAAAACTCAAGTCACTCTACCTACATAAAAAATTGCTTGAGCTGGCTATTCGAGCCTCTCCTCAACTATTAATCTGATTTTATTAAAAATTAATTTTATTAATTTTATTAAATTTTACTTACTTAAAGAGGTACTTACAGGGTAAATCAACTATTGGGAGGTTTAATATTCTCTTTTGGATAATTGATAAAACAGATAAGTCGCTCTGTCTGTGCATTTTGATATAATTAATTTCTTTTCAACCTGAATATTAAGCGTGCGACTAATTAATTAAAAATGCCAAAGCATGAGACATTTTCTCTTAAGTATGAGAGTGTGGATGTTGTGTTTTTTGCTTTTCTTCGTACTATCCTGTATTTGTGATGTATTGTGCCAATAAAAAAGAAAATGAAAAGTGCTTTTACAAAATTTACATCTTGAGTCGAAAAAAAAATCCAAGTTCATTAAAGGCATTCAGATTTCTTTTTAAAGTTAAACGTGTTTTGTTACAACATCCTGAAAACATCCGCAGTTCCGTTTACAGAGAAGTAGTTTACGTGAAATTTATGGCTAATTGAAACATTACCAATAGAATATAGCTAAATACCAATGTAATGAAACAGAAATACATATTTTTCATGTAGATTGAGAACACAGTCTTACTTAATACCGTTACTTTCTGACATAACATTCCGTTTCAAACACTATACAGAAATGACTCTATTGTATTTGCTTGTTTTAACTTTTTTCTCGCATGATGTCATTTCAAGATCTGACTCCGTCGTCTCACTCTATCTACGTTTTCCCCACATACATAAACCTACTAAAACAAAAGCAAAATAGTAAAAAAAAAAAAAAAAAAAAAAAAACATGAATCGCTGAATATGTACAACTGAACTACCCGGTCTCTTTATAAATATAAAT